GTGCCCCGGCTGCGCGCTGGCACGTGACGACCCGCCGCCACACCGCCGTTGCACATCACACGTTGATGACACTGTCTCTGCTCTGATCGATCGACTGATGTGTCCGGAGCCTCTCCTCCATCTGGTGCAGCTTGTCCTGCATCTGACGAAGCTGAGGGCACGGCGGTGCATTAGCCGGCGGGCCCCCTGCGTCGGACAACACGAGAACGGTTAAGATACCCTCCCGTGGTATGCGATATATATGATTCGTTATTTATATGTATATGGAAATGTATACATACATATATATATATATATATATATATATATATATATATATATATATGCATATTGTTGTGTACGTGGAAATGAAGAAGATCGCTAATTCCGTGCTAGCAAGTTCTTCAAAAGTCTATCAAATGTATGAACGCTAGAGCAGCAGCATGCAAACAGATGTGGCAGTACAACTTATGATCAATTACTATTCAATGGGCTTTCACATCGAAGCGTTGTGGAATTTGTGCTGTTACAGCGCAGAACTGTTCTATAAATAGATGCATCGACATATTGAATGTTGGCGAAGCTAGTGCACCCTCATTTGTCAGGACCCAGCATGACTATGCTTTGCTGATCTGTCGGCTGTGAATTAATGGATAAAATATAAGTGAATTCGCTGTCGGAGCGAACCTCGGTCGCTCAGCTAATGGTGAACCGCGTCATGCGTGCATGACGCGATGTGTTTCCTCAATGTTTTACGAGGTTCTGAAGCCCTTGTTGCTCGTATATCCTTGCTTTCTTTGTCCCCTTGGGGAGCTTTTGCAAGAACCAGTCATCATCGTGAAATTTTGGTGAAAATAGACTTTTAGAATCCAAAACAAAAGTCCCCGCATCTGCATCTATTTTTGGTGAGCGGGAGAGGAGGAAGCGCGGGTCTCCGCGCCTCGGTCTGATCTCGCAGACTGCCCAGCCTGCACCCCAGCCCGACAGCGTGACGTGAGCCCACCTCCTCGTCCTTCTGCTGGAGCATCTTGTCCTTCTGCTCGGTGTCGCCGAACGTCTGCGACTCCCGCTTCAGCTTGGTGCGCGACTTCATCGCCATCTGAGAAATCTGCGAGATGCACTGGGTGCGGAAGTTCTCGTACTGCACTTCCTGCGTCATGTCCTGCCGGAAAGCGTATGAAGGAATGTGTTCCGTTGTCCCCTGGCGCAATCGCACTGGTCGTGCCAGCCCAACACACAAGGAAATTACTGCAAACACGATAAGGCCAGGAATAAATGGACAGTGGCTGATCAGGACGATTTAGATAGCAACTGGCTCCGGCGATGTCTGTGAGTGTAGACATTACAGTACACTCTCCCTAAGTTGTAGCGCAGGCAGATACATGTCTATTCCTCATGTCGAAAGGCAGCGCCAATACGGTCGTATCTAATGGTCTGAGGCCGGCTCACCGCCTGTGCCCACTACGCTCGGGCTCGGTGGAGCCGGGTCGCGTCGCTCCATCACGGAGGGAGGTGACCCCATCCTGGAGCGGGGCAGACTGTCCGGTGGCCAGCCACTCTAGTGGACTGGGACCATCCCGCCGCACCGGGCCTGACGTCGGCCGCCCACCTTGAGGTCGTGCATGTGCGTGGAGATGAGCATGGTGCGCAGCTTGACGAAGTCGCAGTGCTGGTGGTTCTCCACCTCGACCACGCCCCAGGGGTACTGGCGGCCGCGCACTCGCCGGCCAGCCACGTCGATCACCGTGTTGGAGCCGATGACGGCGAACGGAAAGCTGGCCTTCAGCTCCTGGTCCTGCCGCTTGAAATCGGCGTCCTCGTCCGGGTCGCACTCGGGGAACTCGTAGATCTGCCGGCACGCGCACCAGTGAGCCCGGTGGCGGCACAGCTCCCCCGGTCTGTTGGTGGTGTTGGCGGTCTGTTGGTGGTGTTGGCGGTCTGTTGGTGGTGTTGGCGGTCTGTTGGTGGTGTTGGCGGTCTGTTGGTGGTGTTGGCGGTCTGTTGGTGGTGTTGGCGGTTGTTGGTGGTGTTGGCGGTCTGTTGGTGGTGTTGGCGGTCTGTTGGTGGTTTTGGCGGTCTGTGGTGGTGTTGGGCGGTCTGTTGGTGGTGTTGGCGGTCGTTGTGTGTTGCGGTCTGTTTGGTGGTGTTGGCGGTCTGTTGGTGGTGTTGGCGGGCTGTTGGTGGTGTTGTCAGGTCTGTTGGTGGTGTTGGCGGTCTGTGTGGATTTGCGGTCCTGTTGGTGGTGTTGGCGGTCCTGTTGGTGGTGTGTTGGCGGTCTGTTGGTGGTGTTGGCGGTCTGTTGGTGGTGTTGGCGGTCTGTTGGTGGTGTTGGCGGTCTGTTGGGGGGTGTTGCGGTCCTGTTGGTGGTGTTGGCGGTCTGTTGGTGGTGTTTGCGTTCTGTTGGGGTGGTGTTGGCAGGTCTGTTGGTGATGTGCTGTCTGTTGGTGTGTTGGCGGTTGGTTGTTGTGTTGGCGGTCTGTTGGTGGTGTTGTGTGGCGGTCTGTTGGTGGTGTTGGCGGTCTGTTGGTGGTGTGGCGGTCTGTTCGTGATAGTCTGTGCAGTGTTGGAGTGCCAGATCAGCCGGGCCGAAGTGAGAGCACACGGATGGCGTCGGGGATGGCATGGTTCTGCAGGGACCCTGAGCGTCGCGCCAAACACATGCAGCCTCCAATGTCTTTCACATGAAGAATGTCCTGACCTCGATGCTTAACACTGCCGCACCAAACACCTGCTGGCGCGGGCTGTAGCGGGATGTGTGCTGCTGCAATCGCTGTAGCAGCACGCAACAATCGCGTTGTTTTCATTGTGGTGTTCTGCCTGACGATCTATGGACTTTCAAGTTCACGCTTACCTCAATTTGGTTGTCTCGTATGTCCTTCATCATGTTCTCCTTTAACCGCTTCGTCTCCTTTCTCGTCAGCACGTCCGCTTTCGCTATGACGGGAACCAGGTTCACTTTCTTGTGGAGTCGCCTCATAAACTCGATGTCCAACTGCCGCAATCTGCCAGCGACGTGCCGTCGCATTACTTAGCTTCGGAGACGGGCCATGATGCTGCGTAAGTATGGCGCCTGACACTCCACGGTGCTCGGTTTCACAACGGACAGAAATAACCCACAGAAGAGCCTAAAAACTGTGCCTGGCGTTGCTCCCACTGCCGCCCACCTCTCAGCTGAGCGGTTATTCCCGTGGAAGACAGCAGGGCTCAAGAGACACCAGCTGTTCTCCTTAGGCTAATGGCTACGTCACGGTCCCGACAGCGGAGCAAGGCCATGTCCCCCAACACATTAGAAGAGGTCACGCTTAGGTAAGAGAGGCGCACGGACGTCGAGGCAGCCCTTCGCAATTCGTGTCTGTGAAACAAACCTCGGAAGTTTTTGCTCACCATCCCGTTCACGCATACAGCAGTCGGCATACAGCAGTTACATAAGCATACAGCACACAGCTGGGTTACCGCCAGTCAAACGCTCTGGACTTTCATTAAAGACCTTTATTTCGTAACCAGTCATAGCCCACATGATAGTGCTCGGCTCGAATGTCGACTCACCCGTGGCCATATGGCGGGATGAAGTAGAGACAGCAGTGTACCCGGTTATCCTGGATGTTCCTGCGATTCAGACCGCTTTCATCCTGGAAGTACTTGTTGAACTGGTCGTCGATGTACTTCTCACAGGCCCGGTAGCTCTCTTCGCAGTTCAGGGCGTCCCCGAAGCCTGCGTGACGGGGATAGTGAGCTGGGTCTCGCACAATGTCGCGTGTTTCGCCATCGGCTGGATGAGCCGTCGTAACAGCGCACAGATGACAAAAGCGGCGTCAGGCCTAAGGCTATACTAACCGAGATCAGAGCATATGACGGTATGATATACTTAAGCCCCGTTCACGTTTGTTTGCACATAGAATGCCTACCGCAGAGCAACACATATAGGGACGCTGGTAGCGCTTATAGGTTTGGTGGCGTGATGTAAAGCCAGCTCACTGTGCCTGATAATCGTATAAGTCACGTGGTGTAATCCGTTGATCGCGGCACGGTCGACCACGCGGTGTGTCAGCTGGCACCATCATCTACCGCCGAGACAAGGCGCACGGTGCGACGACAGCTGCTGGAGCTCGACGCCGCGGCTCCTGCGTCTGGTAAGGGCAGCCCGTCTGTGTGGAGCGCCCACATCGGCTAGCTGTTACAGCTGGGTGGCGGGCGCGCCGCCGGGATTGGCTACCTGGCGTGTCGACGACCGTCAGCCGCAGACGCACGCCCTTCTCCTCGATCTCCATTGTGCGCTTCTCTATTTTGGTCGTCTTGTTCACCCGTTCTGAAACAGAGGCATGACATTGACAAGTCGGCATAGACACGTCGCAAACAGAGGGGGAATGGAGCGGGCGGGCTCGGCTGTCACGCGTGGGCTGGAGTCTCAGCCGAGCTCACGCCCCGTGTCCTGCACCGCCGCAGCAGCACCGCGCGCCGAGGCACTCAGTCTCTCATGGGGAGCGTGCGGCGCGTCTGCCACTGCCGGCCTTGGAGCGGACTCGCCTGCACCAGCAACGTCGTCCAGAGTCGAGCAGACCGCTTCACGAGCGGCCGCCACGGCCGGCGAGGAGAAAGGCACGGTCGCGTCAATGAGACGAGCCGGCAGTGGCAGAGTGGCGCGAGGCCGCGGCCGCACCGTTGTGAGGTGCTCTTCGGGCGGTCTGGCGCAACAGATGCGAGCCAACAGCGTCGTTACCGAAGCCCCATGCCGTTTGTGGAGCACGGCTCGGAGAAACTAGACGAGTATTTGCGCCGCGGCCCGTCAGCCCGCGTCAGGCTGCCCGCCGGGCGGCAGAGAGCCAGGTGGTTCGTCAGGGCGAAGCACTCCGTGGCTCCCAGCACCGGCAGTGGGGCGAGTATCTGTCCCGCAGCCCGCCAGCCCGCGTCAGGCTGCCCGCCGGGCGGCAGGGAGCCAGGTGGTTCGTCAGGGGCGGAGCACGCCGTGGCTCCCAGCACCGGCAGTGGGGCGCGGCAGTCATATTTCCGGCAGCTCGTGTCATGCGAAGCGCGTCTCTCGCGCGCCTCGCGGCCCGCCGCGGCCAGGTGCCGGCCGAGGGGAGCCTATTTGCGTCGCTGCGGGCTGCCGGCGCCGTCAGCCCCCCCGACGCCGCGCACCGCGCGGGACCGCGCGGGCCGGGCCTGCCCCCGGCGTGCCTCCTGTCCGCCAGCGACGGCGGCGCCGGCGCCCGAGACGGCGCTGAGAGCACGGCGCAGAGAGGCGCCGTTGTTCTGGGACAGAACTATGCCTCAGGCACATGTCAGGCGGTAGCCAGTCAGGAAAAACAATCACTTTGGCTACTGACACCGTGCGTGGGTTCGACTGACACCGTGTGACACCGTTCGATACAACCATGCCACAACTCGAAGTGCCACTGTAGGATAGGCTCATAGCTGGGCAGTAGGCACCGTCACGCCGTGCACTAACCAGCAACAGCCACAAGGCTGCAGCAATCTCGGCCGCGGCTAGAGCATGCCGCGGAATGCTCCCGATCAGATATCTTCATTGTGTAGGGGCCGGGCGTCGTCGAATTAACGCCGGCACCCGGCGCGTCCCTGCCAAGGCCGCCCGTCCACCCGCTGCAGGTGAGGTCCCGCGGAATGGGCCGGACGCCGCGCACGGCAATTGTCTGCCGGGCTGACTGTCAAAACCGGACACCGTTGCACTGCGACCTCCCAGTAATCCCGACATTGCGGGACTAAGCTGACTCACTGCTCGGAAACTTGATATATCTCCAGGCGTACGGTCAGAAGTGTCTGACGGTGACATCGCGCGGCTGCCGGCGCTGGGGCGGGTCGTCCTGTGTCGGCGATGCCGTGCCAGGGCGTTCGTGCCCAAGCAGGGCGCGGGAGGGCTCCGCCGGCCTTGTCCGGCTCGCCGGGAGAGAGGCGGCCGCCAGAGAGGCGGCACGCTTCGGGCGGGCGGGCCGGCCAAGTCACGAGCCACCCGTCACACCAGGTCACGAGCCACCCATCAAACCAAGCTGTGAGAGCGGCTACCACTCGGCGCGTGCGGTCACGACCCCCAGGTAAAAACCCGGACGGTCGGGTCACGGACGGACGCTCCAGACGCGGAGCCACGCGTGTGCCTCCTGAGCGACACTTCATTAGGTCACGGCGCAGCCACGGTCTGAGAAATGGCCACCAAGTCCCGACTATTCAACCATCTAGCCAAGAGGTTCACAGAGTGAGAAATGATGGAAATAGCTCCAGAACAACACATGACACTGGCCATCCATCAGCATCAAAACCCGGGTGACCTTTTGCCTCCCATCTGTGTCGGCATCCCAGCATCTCCCATCGCCTCTCATTTCCTCAATCGCCTCTCGTCGACTCCAACCGCTCCCCAACGCCTCCCACCTCCTCCCATCGCTGCCGTCGCCGTCTTAACATCGCAGGGACGGCGGGCCTCGACCGTCCGACAGAGAGGATAGCCTTCGCTTCTCCAACAGAGACGACAGCCCCTGGTCCTCCTGCAGAGAAGACAGTCCTTGATCTTCCTGCAGAGAGGACAAGCCTTGATCATCCGGCAGAGAGGACATCCCTGCTCCTTCAGAAAGGAGGACAGCCATTGATCCTCCGGCAGAGAGGACAGCCTTTGATCCTCCAGCAGAGAGGGCAAACAACCCTTCATCCTTCAGCAGAGAGGACAGCCCTTCCTAAGTCCTCCAGCAGAGAGGACAGCGCTTGCATCTTCAGCAGAGAGGGCAGCCCTTGATCCTCCGGCAGAGAGTTGTGCTCCTGGCCTCTCCTGCAGTCCTGGCAGCACTCGGCCTCCCAGGAGCGCAGGCTTCCTGGACGGGCCGAGGGGCCGCGTTAGGGGGCCGGCTCCCACGGCCGGCGGGCGGCCGTGAGCGGGTGACCGCGCCCATTGCCAGAGCCGGCCGCTGCAATCAATAGCCTCGGGCTGGGGCCGGGGCCGGGGGCCGGGGCCGGGCCGGGCCGACGCTGCTCGCCTTTCACGCGGCACCGTCAGCACCGGGCCACGAGTCGGGGGCGGGGTCGGCCGGCCGGCCGCCCGCCCGCCAGGCCATCCGCCCACCCACGGGTCCCGTGTCGCACCGTCAGCAACATTCCGCCGACCTCGTGTTTCGCGGCGAGAGGTCAGCGATCGACCACGCAGCTGAACAGACTCCACGGATAGTGATCGATAGCTAGGGCAGGCCCTCGAACGGCCTCGTCAGTTTGCTATCGAATATCTAACGTAGTTGGAGCGTGTATTCCCTGGGGGATGTTTTGACTCTACAGTGTCCACCTTGCTCCCCAAGCACCATGTACGCATCAGCTAAAAAGTCGTCCAAAAACACCCAAATGGCGCACATTTTTTGTATTTTTTTCGAAAACCTGCTCTTGTTCTTCCACAGCCGCTACGGGACTCTGCCGCCGTAATGCCTGGTCGGTTGTTGAGCATTGTCTAAGAAGTTGGGCACATCTGGGAGCCGTTCACCTGCGGCGGAAAACCTTCGGAAATGTGTCGATATCAGAGCTCATGACAGAGCAGCAATTACCTGGCGTTGCAGTCGCTCAAGTAGGTCACGCCATAGCTGCTATCTCAAGTCCTGCTTGGTATTAAACAAAATATTGCTGTAGGGAATGGGAAAATACGTGGTATCTGTCATCTGTGTGAACATTGCTGCGACTATCATTGCGGTAAAAATGCACAGCATTTCAAGTTAAATGAAACAAAACTTAGCCAATTTCATATTGATTTCATTTAGTTCGGAGTACGTGCCAGACTTCGGCCATTTTTGTACTCTCTTGTTCGTAAGTCGTATATCAGTCGTGGACGCTTTGGTGAAACTTGTCGCTACACTGTGTGATTATGAGAGCAGCCGTATTGAAACGACGTGAGTGAAAAGAAGGTAGGCTGATAAATGCTCCGCATAAAGTTGTGCCCAGTATTGATATCTATTGCGCGTTCTACTAAATGAAACTGCAGGGCTTAGGCCCAAGTAACGCCCACACTACCGCAGGCTCCTCCCCCCCCCCCCCCCCCTTTCCTCCTAGGCTGTCGGGTTCAAGACCGAGGAACGTCATGGCAACGCGATAAGTTCTTTCGCTTCAAATGCAACTCGAGCTGCCTGAGGCGGTCTGTTCATCGAGACACACGAGATAGCCGGTTGTCCGTCGCAGGGCCTCGGCTCGCTTGACGCTCCTCTGGGCCGGTGCTGAAGCAGGCCTCGTCGTCACCGACCTGCATAGGAGACACGGCCTTGCACCGACCGGGAAGGCGGGCTGGCCCTGCGACGACTTTCCCGTCACGTGACCGGGCCAGCCGCGCGCGTGACGTGCGCCGGCACAAGGAAGGACCGTCCGTTTCCCGGACTGCGGGCGCGTTTGTCGGACGGTGTCTGGCGCAGGTTGGCGCAGAGGCGGTATGACAGAATCTGGCTCAGGTTCGGGCAGGAACGGTATGACAGGATCTGGCGCAGGTTCGGGCAGGGGCGGTATGACAGGATCTGGCGCAGGTTCGAGCACAGACGGTATGACAGGATCTGGCGCAGGTTCGGGCAGAGGCGGTATGACAGGATCTGGCGCAGGTTCGAGCACAGGCGGTATGACAGGATCTGGCTCAGGTTCGGGCAGGAACGGTATGACAGGATCTGGACCAGGTTCGCGAAGAGGCGGTGACAGGATCTGGCCCAAGTTTTCGCAGAGGCGGCGTGACGAATCTGGCTGAGGTTCGCGCATAGACGGTATGACAGGATCTGACCCGGGTTCGCGCAGAGGTGGTATGGCGCAATCTGACTCAGGTTCGCGCAGAGACGGTATGACGAAATCTGGCTCATGCCCGCGCAGAGGCGTTATGACGGGATTGGGCACAGGCTCCGTATGACACAGTGGTTACTGTGTTTACGCGGGAGCCGTATTATGAGCCAGCTTGCATGATATGTGCAAAGTTGCAGGTCGAATGTCGAAATTTCGTTTTGCCTTTAAAGGAATGCATACATTTGAAGATGAATAAAACATATATGATGAAATAAGCTCACTTATAACCATTGGTATAATTTAAAGTGGAAAAGGCTGCTATATACAGTACTGTTTAGTAAATACGCTCCTCAATACGCCTTGCTTTGACTACGTCATCGCACCTTGCACAACATTTATTGGGAGCGAATTCGCGGCCGTTATATTTAGAAATTGTGCTGACGAACGCCAGATATGAACGGCTTTCCAAATATATTTTTGGCCCCGGTCGCCGCATGGCCAATGGAATGGCGGGATTTGGATGACGTTATTATAGTGCCATGGATGTCTGGGTGACCCTGAAATGGTCTCGCAATAGCCTGCACATCTTCGCAGCATGTAGTTCAGAAATTAGAACGGTCTAGGTCTTAAGACGGGCAGGCCTGTGAACTGCACTGAATGATCTTCAAGATGGCTTTTTCAGGTCAGACCCCATACAAACGTGGAACACTCTTTAATTCAAATCTGCATTGCGGCGTGCAGCTTTGAACTTGGTTACAACAATTTACAAGCTAGCATTTTTAGACAGGGAAACAGATTTTGCGCCAAATCTGCAATGTAAGGCAAACCTGGGGCATACAGGAGCGACATCCACCGTTTGTGGCCAGGTTCATCAAAGTACTCAGTAAATGTTGCTACGTAAGCGATTTTGTGTTGTGATAATGTACTCACTTGTCATTCCATGTGTGTGGTGTTTAACGATTTTGTCCCGTCGGGACAAATTCACGAAGTAAAATAACGAATAGGTACAGTATGATCAAATAAAAAAAAAACACTTACATAGCAGCATCTATCAGATACGTTGATAAGTCTTACGACAAATGGCGGGTTTGGCCCCGGTTTACAACAGTATTCGTGCATTTTGGATTTGGTACCAAAGTACGTGTTCCGTTCAAAGCTCATTTTATTTTACACTTACGCTCACCTCTCCTGTCGCTTAAGATTTCATTAAACACTCATTTACATTCATCCACACTGTGTGCGTTGTAGTCAAAACAAAGCTACATTAAGGACACCTGGATACCTCTTCCCTCATTTATCTGGACCTCCTGCCAGGAGTGCTTCGGCAAGCAGCGATTTATTGCATTATGTTCCACACTATCTCTACCACCCATTAGCTCGATGTCCGACTGGGACAACGCCCTTAGAAATAATGCATTGGTCGGCGCTGATTTCATCAGACTCACCCTTGGGGTCAGAGAGTGTCCTGTCCTTGTAGAGGTCGGTGAGGAACAGGCTGTTGATGAGAGTGGACTTGCCGAGGCCGGTCTCGCCGACCACCATCAGCGTGAAGTCGAAGCCGCGCTTCACCGACTTGCGGTGCACCTGCTCCGGCAGCGTCGCGAACCCGATGTACTCCTTCTCGTCCTGGAACGGCGTCAGGCGACGGTCGGTGCCGCCGGCTGGGAGCTGACGCCGGCCGGGGCTTATCACCACCGGCAGCAAATTGACGAGCCATGCAGAAATAGCGAACCATATATTGTTAGAGAATTGATGCGAAGGTGCTGACACCCCCGGCGGGGGCGATTTGATCAGCCGATTTCGCGATAGACCGACCAGTGGGGCGCCGATCACTGCCATCTCTTGCATTTCAACGGAGAGTAATTGGCAAGATCACCCTAGACTGTAAATCCGATCTCTAAATAAATACGTAATCACATGCTTAGGGGTCATGCCCTCCGTCATTTAAGAGAGCGATGATGGCAGAATGCAAATAAAGCTCTTTACAGCTTCAAACAAATCAGCGCAAATGGGAACAGATTAGTGCTCGATTCATTCATGTTCGCCCTGCCAGACGGTCTTTGATTATACCGGCGAACTGGCTCCATCGAAACCGACTGGACACCGCCCTCAGCAGAATATGATAATTTAGAGGAGGAAAGATCAAAGCGCTTGGCCACGAGGTGTCCACCTCCTCATAGACACCACCAGCATATATATAATTGGATTTTAACCAGTAGCTGATGTGATCTTGCCGAGGGTTGCTTGCGTGGCGTTTGACAAGTAATTACATGCAAGAACGGAAGAAAACATCGCGAGACGTGAGCTTAAACTGCAACGGCGGCCACGTCTGGGAAATACCTCCTTGTTCAGGCGGCTAACTTTCCTGGAAACGGATGTGAACATAGTGCTAGAAGACCTGACGTGCAATCTGGTGCAATGCTACCAAATTGCAACTGTGAGTAGACAAACGGGGGTTTTGATTTATATGGCCTTCCGCCGCTAATAGCGGCAGGCTTTAAGAGGGTGATGCTACTGTCAGTCACTTCAGTGCGAAGGCATGCAACCATCTGTGGATGTCAACGCATATGTTGCACGGACTCCTGTGGATCATCTGTAGCACAGTCACGTCATACCTTCAGCATAGGATCACAACTTTGCACACACATCAACCGAATGGAGCAGCTAAAACACGCCCACCCCCGGCTGGCACTCCCCCCATTGTAACCTAACGGGCCAGAGCACAACTGGGTCGCATTCCTGTCGTCCTGCTGACCGCGGCAGAACCCACGGCTCTTTTAGCGGCCTCTCGGAGTGGTCATTTGCCTCCGCCGCAGCGTACACAATGGACGATCATCGCTCGGGAGGCCGCCCGGCCAGACAGTCATCGGGACACGCCGGCAGACCGGCGCCATACACCACCCAGGCAGTGCCGGGAACAGCGCACGGCGGAGGCACAAGGCAGCGTTGTTTGCGTTACGAATAGCCACTGGGAGCGGGACAGCGCCCCCCCCCCCTCGCGGTCAGAGGCGCACGGTGAGCGGCACGCTCCTGCCGGCGAGCACCGCCCCCCAGCGTGACCACGTCCGATGCTGCACGCTGTGCACGCTCTATCAGCGAGTGTGCACAACAGCCGTTACTTTCCTCTGCTTCCACGCCGTGGTGAGCACACATCTCAAGGCTGTACCTGTTCACGGACCGCGAGTTAAAGACAACACTGATGAGAAGCGGCAATTGACAGACCAATGTCGCCACAGCAGAGACGTCGTCTGGAACTGACTTGAGTACACTTGACCGACGCTTCGAACGGAGGATCGGGCCGGGCAGGCCTGGCATGCGTTGAAGGGCTTGCGGGGGCTCCGCCGGGTAGTTGAGATTTCCGCTTACATGCCTTTGCATCATTTCGCTAAGGCTTAGTGCATACCGAGCCTTATCACCCATCCAGGAAGCGCAAACCGGATGACGTGCGCTATCAGGCATACCAGATGACGTGCACTATCGGGCATACCGGATGACGTGCACTATCGGGCATACCGGATGACGTGTACTATGGGGAAAGCCGGATGACGTGCACTATCGGGCATACCGGATGACGTGCACTATCGGGCATACCGGGCGGGTGGTAACACAATCCAGAAGCGGTCATGGTCCGGTAAGTGCTCCCCTGCTGAACTTGAGCCGCGAACTGCACTCCTGCAGAATGTCGGCCATTGTTGGCTGGCGTTTACTACCGAGCCATGCTCTGCCATGGTCAAGAACACGGCGTCCTGTCTGAACAGCAGCAGTGTCCGCCCGAACCATGGTTGACAGGCGTTCACAGCCCGCCTCCTCCGCAGTCGCCTCGCCTGCCGTTTAACAGCTCCGGGAACCCAATAAACCAGTAAACCCGTTTGTTGGTAAAATTATTTCCAGGCGTTTTGTGAAAATGACCTGTCAACTATTGAGAAGGGAGTTGTATGAAGTCTTTATCCGTTGCTTTTCGTTTTGTATTGAACATTTTTAGCTGTCATTTAATATTTGCGTCGCTCTGGGAATCACTAACGTAACTTTTCTGTTTATAAGAATGTATAAAATCTGCTTTTGGTTGCCAATGCAAAAGGCAGTAAGCGATCCACGGCGATAACCATGCTATTAAGCACGAGGAAGAGTACCAATAAAGAATGACAAACTAATAAATATTTCAAAGTAAAACATACCGAAGCATTTCGAATCATTGTTGTGTGTTACGACGGCTATGATAAGCCAAACATACCTATATCACAGTCATGTACGTTTTACAAATTGTGCAAACGAGCCTTAACCCCCGCTGATTGCTCTCCATGGTCCTCAATAAAGGTGTGCAGGCCAGCTTGAGACGAAACATCCGCAGTCAAACGCTCAGCGTCACGGTACGTCTGTGACGCTCAACATTATCGTCACGCTGCAGCCGTCGCTTGTCCGCTCAGCAGCCTGCGGTCCGCTGCCCAGGCAGCACTGGAGCCCGGCCAGACATGCTCGACATAACAAATCAAACGGCCCGGCGGACGGAGGCCCGGTGTTTGTTGTCACATGTAGCACGCATGCCCGGGGCGGCACGGGCCCGGATGATGGATCTGCGGCGACGACAGCGACCCCGCACCGGAGGCCGTAGCCGACCGCCGGCGTAAAACACGCGATGACGACCACAGAGCGCGGGTGGCTTGAACGGCTTGTGGCCGCGCTGGGCCTGCACAGCCCAAGGCCCGCATAGGCCGGCTGAAGTGCCGCAGCTCGCGCTGCGCGTGCGGCTGCAGCGGTCGGATCGGCCGAGCAGCGGCGCTGGTGGCCGCCGGCGGGTGGCCGTGAGAGCCGGCCGCCGCCCGTCCTGCCATCACCCCGCCTGTCGACGGCGTCATCCTCTCGAGGCGCAGGTGGCTTCCCAGCGCCTGGCCCGCCGGCGGCGGCGAGAGCCGATCGCCGGCACAGCCCGCTCTCAGGAGCGTGCGTGGCTCGCAGGCGGCTGTGGAGGCCGTGCCGCTGACGACAGGGTGGGGGGGCGGGGCGGGGTGGGGTGGGGGGTAATCGGTGCAGGCCGCTCTCAGCCATGCGCGGCTCGCAGGCTGCCCTGGGCGACAGGACTGCATGAGCCGAGACATGCGGCCGTCCTGCGCTCATCTTCAGCCGAACCCTCCAATGAAATGGCACGCTCGCCATCAGGAGGCAGGAAGTAGGACAGGGGAGGGCCGTCCTCCGTCTGTGATTGCGGCGCAGTGTGTCATTTAATAAGACAGTTCAAGGGTACCCTGCAGCGAAAGACCTTCGCTCAATAAGCACGACACTTTCATGAATTCGCTGCAACTTTGACAAGCCCACGCAGGCAATCTTCCAATTGTCGAACACTGCCGAATGCCTCGGCTTCTCGCACTCAGCTGGGACCGTTTTACAGGGACAGGAGCGGGCGCCAGCTGTAAAATTTGTAAACGTTGGAGACATTTTGGTTACTGTGCTAATAATTCACACAGTGTCATCTCCCTCAAATTATTTAGGAAGTGGTTAGAGCCAGGGTAAAAAACACTTCGATGGAAGGTGCGACGTAACCAGGCTTCACTGCATAGACGTCGGTTGAAAGCCTTGCACGAATCTCCGCTAAAGTACTATTAAGTGAGCATGTGTTTTTCGTGCAGTTTGGCAGCTACTAATGCAGAATGAATGTGAAATTATTAACAGTTTGAGAGGCTCAAAGCTATATGTTATCTCATCGTCGCAAATGAGCTGCTTATCCAAAAAAATCAAAGAGCAACATGATAAAAAACATGACGTGTTATTCATAGATTAGGTTTGTAGGGTCAATGCCTGAGGGAGAGCAATTTTTCATGCATGTTACAGAGCGGTTCGAGCGGGAAATGCTATCAATGAGCGACAGCAGTACGGTGACTTGTGCCAACGTAATTACTTACTCCAGTACCACCCACAATCCATCACCTAGACAGTAGCTACTCTAGCTGCACGTCGTCGGCTTTCCTCCGCAAAAACATTCAACGTGGCCTCGTCGATGCGATCAATCACGTCGCAGCCCGGCGGAATATGTGGCCGCCGAGCCGGAGCGTCCGTCTCCACGGCGACCACTCGGACAGGAACACTTGTCTGTCCTGAACGCACAATGCCTGCTCGGACGTCCGATAAGCGAGCACCGCGGGCCGCCGTGTGCGTGGGGTGACTTCCGACAGGCGGTCGGACCGCGGCGGCCGGGCAGGGGTGCCGCCCGGCGCAGCGGGCGCCGGACGCGGAGATGCCATCAGCTGGCGCGGCGAGGCGGGGCCGGCCGCCGACCCGAGCGCTCCACCGCGCCGCCGCTACACAAGCGACCCGGCGCCGTATGAATGAACGGGGCCATGGTAATCACGCCGAGGAGCGGCCGCGACCACCGGCGGCGGGCGGCGCCGCCGCACCGCCGCCGCCCGCCGGCGGGTCACCGAGGGCCGGCAGCGGCCGCGCTGCGATCACAGCGCCTCACCGCGCCTCCACCCACTGCTCCGCACCGCGCCCCGCGCGCCCGCGCGGTGGGAGTCGGGGCGGACAAACGGCACGGTTTGCGACAGCGCAGCGCTGCTGTTTGGATCACCGGGAGAATGATGACAGCCGTATGTGGATCAGACCATTTGCATCACCGTTGGGGCTCCTCTCTCCTATCCTGGGTACGGCTCGCAGACCAGTAAGACGACTTTACCTAGCAAGCGACGGACAAAGCGCTGGCCAGGGTGGCAGCGATGAATTTAGTGGGCGATGATCTCGACGCACAGACGTTAATGGCCAGAGTACGCCGCAGCAAGAGAACATTCTCATCATCGGGGGTTTGCCTGTCGTGTAAAGCAGGCTCCGGCCTGTCGCGGGGTGGGATTCAA